GACGTAGTTATATTATTTAACTCTTGCTATTATTCAGCAGATAGTTTTGCTGCAGAACGTTAGTCAAGGCGTGATCTGGGAGACAACTCTTCTGGATTTCTTTGAAAACCTGATTTGAACAATTATTTCTGAGAAGTTTCAGAATGGGTTGCACAGAGACAGCTTTGAAATAAGCAGTGTAACTCTAATACTTTTCAGAGCATCTTGTTGTTCTGTGTTCTCCCAAAGTATGCCCACACAATAAAACAGAGCTGTGACAGGAGTGTTTGTGTCTTAATTAAACAGGCACACTATTTTTCTAGTGCCATGGTGCTGTTTTGCTAATAGTAACAGTTGCTAAAATGAAGGCAGTGTAGGGCTGAGGCTGGAGAACATGTATCTGCAGGATCTGGGGGTCATTTTTACCCTATAATATAGACACCAGGTAAGACTTCACTAGTTGGATAATGTCCTGGCTCTCCTTGAAGCAAGAGGGATGCCTCTTCAAAACTGACAAGTGAACTGTATAGGTTAGGACCTCAAAGATTTTTGTGCCTTTTCTGCTCATTCCAATATAGAAGATTAGCAATCTCCACTTTCAGTAGTGAAACATATTCCCATCAACACTTTTCTAACATGAGTGTACGTCCTGTATTTTATTATTACAACTTCATTACCTTGGTATAGAGACCACAGGCAGTTTCAGCATGGTTCTTAAGCACACCCAAGCCATCTTTCAGTATTGGTGCTATGGTAAGGACAGTTCAGGTCTCTGTGTACATCCATTCAGTTTAACCTCTCACCATGCAGGCTGATGAAAAGAGGCCTATGTATGAGTAAGGGAGCGGTTGTCTTTGTGAACGGGGTGCTGAGGTCTATAGTGCTGCTAACTAGCTGGGCAAGATGAACCAGATTCCTATTCCATTATCAAACTTTCATTGAGAACTTCCCCTTGAGAACAAGAGAACAAAAGCACATGAAGGTTTGTATCTGACCCAATGCACTTATCTTTTCCTTCACTTTTTATGTATCTCGTACCATCTCACCAATTTCTTCTGATATTTTTTCATTTCTAATTTTTATGGAAATATAACAACTGTTGTACATGTGCAACCTACAGAACTGACTGAGGATGCAGAAGTAAAACTGAAATGAAGGTTTAGATTGTTAATAACTTCATTGCCTCTTTTCTGGAGCAGAACTCAGAAAACTCATTAGGTTTTAAATTCCTGTAAACATTTTTCTGCTTGAATCAAGCTGGTTACAATCTTTCATATCTGTCAAACTTCTGTGGACAGAAGTCCAGCAACTGATGGAAGCTGTCCTGATGGTAGAAGAGAAGGTACCCTCCATTCTCTCAAAGTTTCCTTTTCTGCGGGAAATTAAATCAAATAGTTATGCACATATTCATTTCCAGTTTTGAGGAAGACAGAATGCTTGCCAGTTTCTTGCACTCTTACAGAATGCAGATCTAATCAAGAAAGTACCAGGAAATACAGCCAACAGAGTAAAATACAAAGACTACAAAAGGAAAAAAGCAGAGCTGAGAAATGCATGTGAGAAGTGAATTACAAATCAATTAGTTACAAAAATTGTTATATAAATTACTTTTTATGCATGTGATTTCAGTATGAGAGACAGAGAAGGGCTTTCATCTCCTCTATCTTATGATAGAAGTAGAATAACACAATTAAATATAAGCAGCAAAATACAAGCAAATAAAAGCAACATTTTCACACTAAGACAGCGGATCTCATTGTTAGAGGATATCATTGAGGCCAGGAATTTAAATGGATGTAAGTAATGTGAAGGATATAATGAACGCAGTGAACTCTTGAAAGATATTGAACATTTAGGGGCTAAACAGCTCTCCAAAAATGCAAAAAGATTAAACTCTGAAAGGCAGGTTATCCCAGTATTGATCTCTGTATGGTTTTAAATCTTGTGTTTTAGGCTTGTACCATCTGACTTGCATCTGCTTTTCTCTGAAGTTGGACCATCTGCTCTTAGGAAATTGCCTCCTCCCTCATCATCAGCCCTGAGTCACCATCTGATGAAGCTGATTTCACAGGCTTTTGTTGGCTTGATTAAAGGTTTCCCAACCCCTATTCTTAGTAGTAGAAAATAAAAAGATTCTTTAAACCTCAGTTTAGGTTATTAGTAGTTTTAGTTGTAATAATGCACATAAAGTGAGAGTCTTAGAAAGACCCCCAGAACACAACAGATACCAAATAGAGAAAACATACACTAATACAAGTTTCTATGAAAAATATGAAGTAATTACAATATATGAGCTTTTTAAGTTAAATATTTTACAATTAAACTTGTAAAATATACTAAAGGTATGTTTCAGTTGTCTTTGAACCTTGATCTTGCCTATCTCATGCCTCCATAAAGCAGCCCTTTGACCATGTTGAGTTAGATCAATTAAGACCAAACAATCCAAATAACAATGTACTGAAACCAGCTCTCCATTTAAACTCTCCTCACAGCACTACAGTGGGTGTAAATCAGAAGTAGTGTTTTTGTTTTCAGATTTTCCTATGCCAGTGATCCAGCTGAGTCAAAGAGCACAGGGAAATATGTGTGAAGATTACTACAGGCTTGGTTAACCTTGCTTTGGGCAGTCAGTAAAGCTTCCGTCACAGAACCTGAAGGTTTGCAGCAAGGCTTAAGTGATGCATGACTTGTTCAAACTGTTCACCTGGACTCAGATTATGTTTATCACAGTGGTGTTATGTGTCAGTTTAGGAGCATGCATGTTTAGGAGTGCAGTAAGCAGCATGGGGAGAATCCTCCTACCCTTCTGTGTTTAATTCTTTGGTGGCATTTAGTGATGTACCCTGTGCTCACCTCTGAGAAGATGCTGCAATCAGGCATCATTCCCCACTAAGGGAGCTGCTTAGTGTTTTGTGAGGATTGCAGGTAGGTACATTTTGAGAAGACTTTGAACTTACCTCATCTACAGCACAAGGAAGTGCGTCTGCAGAGCACAGCGGGAGGGTGGCATGCCAGGGCATGGTATACTCACTAGTTAAAATCTGCCTTTGCCCAAGCCCAGATCACTTCAGCGGCACCTGGGCCCTACGCCCATTTCTTGAATAGTCATGGGTGTGGCTCAACAAATCATGTGTAAAAGAAAGGTATTTTCTTTTCTGCTGTAGAGGTTTACAGAAGGTTACTATTCAAGTTATAGTTAACAGCAACCTCCTTGATATGATTATCTTCAGATTCCAAAGGAGCTTTGTAATTACATTATGAAAGGCTGGAAGCAAAATAAAAAGAGAACAAGGGAGAAAGTCTTTCTGCCAAACAGGAATGGGTAGAAGGGGAACAGCAAACAAATCTGGATGTGGCCATACTCAGCAAATCCAAAAAGTATCAGAATGCTTTGCTTGACCACTCAGTCATCCCTGACCCTTAAATTAGGGACCTCTCCCTCCCATTCTTTGCCACCAAGCCTACTGCTGTCCTTGGCTGCTTTTGAGACTGCAGAGAACAAAGAGACTACAGTTACATGCGTGCTCTTCTGCAGTCTCTGCTCCTGAACCAACTCTTGCACTCAGGTGCATGTTGATATTAAAGACTTCAAAAACAGGAATAGATTAATATAATAGATTAATTCAATACTGCCATCATGGCATGTATGAACAAATGCTTCTTTCCTACTCAGCTATCTCTGTATGTGCTGCATTCCTACTGGAACCACATCTGCATTACACAGGGATCACTGTGTGCCGTGCCCATGCTTGGTACAGCATGCATTTACATCATGTTCAGATATTCCAAAATAGGGTACTTATTCTGCCAGCTGGGCATTGTTCTGGGCCTCTGCTGGACTTCTGACCCATATTTAGGAATTTTCTCTAGGGTAGTACCTGGGTTTGACATAGAAGAAATACAGACACATGCATTTAATGTTCTGCTTTATTCAGTATATTATTGAACTTATGTGAGAGTAGAATTAGGCAAAGTGTAAAGAAGCACCATACAGTTGGGTTTTGCTGACAGCTCAACCTCTGAAGCACATAAATTACAAATTTGCTGGAAGCCTCTAAGGGAAGTGCATCCTCCGGAAGAAACTGCCAACAATTGCCAGGCAAAGAAACCATTACAAAACTCCAGCTGTGAGGAAAATGTTACCTGGAGACTTTTGTCCTGAGATTCCCTATAGTGAGGTGCTGTGTTAGTAGAATCATGGCTTTAGACAGACAAATACAATTTTGATAACAGTGTGGGTTCTGTGAATAGATCTTCATGTTAATTGCATCGATGTCTGCTGCAGGGGTGTAAAGCAATGCCCAACATCACATGTGGGTGTGTGCTAGAGGAAAGAACCTTATCTTGGCACCCAAATCCCATTTTCCATTTGCTATGCTATCCTTGTGTCTGTTCACATCCACTTTCAGTTTTGGGATTTTTAGCTGAAATACAGACAGAAAAGCTGAAACAGTTCCTTCTCGTGGGTAAGAAAATCATCATTTATTTAATCTCTAAGTGTTAGCCATGTACATTCCATTTCAAAAATTAGTGCTATTTCCTTGAGACTAGGGTGGGTTTTGACATAAACTGCTCGTCCATTTTTTATATCAAGTAAGCTTGATACTGTATTTCAAAGTAATTGATCCCTGTTATTCCATACTTTGAGTAACTTCTCTATGCCATACAGCAGCAAAAATAAAAACCTGCCAAATAATTAAATAAGCTTTGAAACTTTAGTGTTTTTTCTTTAAATGATTACTATTACCTTAAATATGACCCAGAAAAAAAAATCTATTATTTTCTCAGTGTTTTCAAATGTCTTGCTCTTGTATTTGGGTAAAATGCCCCCAGAATTCCAAGAGAACATTTCAAATAGATGGCTACCTTAGAAACTGTGAGGTTAGTGTCATGGTGTAGTCAAATCAGCAAACAAAGACTGTCTCCGTTTGAGTGTCAGTTTTCAGAGCCATACGTCTTTAAACTGGATAGTGTCAGTTTAAGAGCATCGGGAGGCTTTTTTTCTCTTATTGGGTATGGCTGGAAACTCCCCCAAGCTGCAAAGTTTAAACAGCCCTGGGGAACCTGCCTGTGCTGGGTGGAGTCTGAGTTAAGGTCAGAAGGTAAGAACTTAACAATTCCTTTCTTAAAGCATTTGCATGACTATTTTTAAGTGAAACAACGAAGTCTTTTAGGGCATCTGCTGGTGTATTATATATTCTCTGCTCTCCTTAGTGTGTCTGTGTGCCAGGTAGACTGAAAATGGCTTAACAGTTATTCACCAGTGGAAGCTGCAGGAGAGAAAATGCTAGGGAAAGAGGTGTTTTAATCAGGAAATTAATTCTGTGGTGCAATCTAGAGCTGACCAAGGCAGGCACAAAACAACTGAGAGGACAAAGTGCAAACCTTGAGCACTGTGTTATTTCTTCTGAGTTTGAGGAGGACAGCTGGCCTGTGGGGTATGCTGGACTCTAATCTCAACTCCAGGGCTAAACAGCACTTCATGCTGAGTGCTCCTGTTTTTGCAAGATGATGATCTCTTAAATTTTTCTTGCATCCCTAAGATGTATGCTCAGAGAAATTGTGGACAGGCATGTTGGTAAGGCTCAAAAGGCAATAGGAAACAGGATAGGAATATAGGTTTTAGACAAAAACAATTTAAAAGAATTGTATATAGTCAAATTTTGTGTTGAGGCTTTTGCTAGATATCAGGGCAGTGTATGTGAGATGCACTTATTTATTTTGCTGCAGCATAAATTCATGACCTGAACCAGTTCTTCAGCAGTGTCTGGGTTAGTGCAGTAGTCTCCAAATGTCCTGAGTAGTGATGTATGTTTGCTATAGGACTCATATATCACTTAATTAAAATTAGAAGGTTTTCCATGCCTGTTCTCAACAGTCCCTGGACATTTGGCCATTTGTACCCTTTGCAAGAGTTAATTTTCTTCAGCAGGATCAGTGAGACACAGCTTTTCAGGAGTAAGAAACACCAGTTCATGCCGTGGACTACTTGTAAGCCTGGTGGTTTGTACTGTTGTTATGCAATGTATGTTAGACCATTTTCTATCTATTTTTTTGTCCTTCTGCCATATGGTCTGGCTGATGAATGATAACATATTTCTCTGGCAATTGTATAACTTTAACAGTTCAGTAATTCATGGAGCATTTGATATTTTACTTCCTCTAGAAGTCATAAATCCGCACGGCTTCCATAGCTGCCCAGTGGCATGGCATGCTCCAAATGCATATTGAGAATCAGCATAAATGTTTACAGACTCAGAACAGCTGATCTTTGTTAATGCAATTAATTCAGCTGCTTGTGTGCTCAGCTTTGGACTGAGTGGTGGACTGCTTCATTTGCACTAGTTAGTTAATAACCTGTATTCCAGTTGCTGCTCAGATAATATGACCACCCACAAATAACAATTCCGGATTGGTATTTAGAAACAGCACATCTGTTACATCTGCTTGAGCCTTTTAGGCTTCATGGGTGGTTACTTCACAGCTGTTGAGTCATTCCTTCCCCAGGAGGAAGTAGTGTAGTGGGATTTGGCATGTCAGTTACTATCCCAGAGGCTGTTCCTTGCCCTTCTTGTGCAAACAAGGTGAATGATTTACCACAGTCCGGCAGTCCCAGGACAAATGCAGCCAGCTTCAAAATCCTGAATGTCTACCTTGTGTGTTGCCCGGTGAATAGGTTCTTCATCACCTTAGGTTATCAGTATCAGGGGTTTTTCTATTTCCTTGAAAGAGCTGTCTGGCGATGGCAGAATCCAACTTCTGAAGAGTGTTAGTTTTTAGTACGTGGTCTTGGAAGATTTTGAGTTATTTCAATATGATTTTCAGATAATCATATCTTGCTGAAGATACGTAACACAGAGATTCTATACTCCTCTTGCACAAATTGTAAGTTATATAGAAAGGCCCAATGACCATTTTTAATTAAGGCAAACAGTAAGGAATGAGTGACAGCTATACAAGATTACTTGGCTACTAATAAAACATCAACATATTCTATCAAAAATGGATCAACTTTTTTAAACAGCACATCCTGAAAGTCTCTTTGTAAAACTAGAAAAATGGGTCTTAGTAAAACTAGACCTCAGTGGAGGTCTGAGTGAAATCCTGAGGCCTTGGCTCTGTAGGCTGCATCTTTCCCCAAATAAATGAAAAAAGGTGTTGAGAGTCTGGATGCTTTTTTAACGTAGAAGTTGTCAAGTTTCTAGTTGAGGGCTGTATCTTCTGATCTTTAGGGAATCTCAGGTGTCAGTACTCACAGGGGAATGAGCAACTAAACTGAGCCCACCAGACAAGGCTCGGGTCCAGACCCACTAACTGGAAGTATCTGCCTGTGAGCTACAGGTGTCAGGTCCTATATAGTCAATGGAGATGCATTCAGCAGCTCTAAAGATTAAGGCGACTTTTAACCAAAGCTCAAGAGGGTTTTTTTGTGTTTTTTTTTTTTTTTTTTTTTTGTTGGTTGGTTGTGGGTTTTTATTTGTTTATGGGTTTGGGTTTTTATTTGTTGTTGGTGGTGGTGTTTTTGGGGATGTTGGGGTTTTTTTGTTTGTTTTTTGTTTATTTTCTTTTCTTTATTTTATTTTGTTGTTGTTGTTCTTTTGTTTGTGGGTTTTTTCCATGTGTGGAAAGATTAAGATAACTAAAATCCGCTCAGAGCTGACAGAGTTTTTTAATTAAAAAAAAAAATCTTATTGCAGATTTTAATTCTATGTTTGTCATTGTTCTTCTCACATAATTTAATGCCACATAAAATCTCTTGTTCATATGAAATGATAAAATGATGCCTGAGGCTTCTTACTCCTACTCTTCTTCTGCAAACAAAAGATAATGTTTCCAGAAGGATTGAGGTTCACATACTTGATATTTCAGTCGTTGGCCTTTTTAGTTAAAGGAAAAGTCTTATTTACTGTAAGTTTCTGTGTGTTACAAGTTGGGGCAATGTGTGTTGAAATGATACAGATGCAACGAAGCTGAAAAGTACGATAATGAAAGAAGCACTAGGTAGTTGTGAACTATGTTGATAAACTGCCCTGCAATGAAAAGTAGTCACACAAGATGCAGAAACTAATAAAACACTGTCCCTACAGCCAAACATTGTAATTAGGAACAGCTATTCACAGTTTAAAACTGAACATACTTTTTCTATAATGTGTATTTGGATTATATTTACTAAATTACCCCAAATATCCCTATTTATTGTAGTAATATGGCTCAGTTCTTACTGGAATTGCTCAAGAGAGAACTCTCAATCTTGTTTTTTATTTAAGTCCAGTTTGGGCAAAATATGTTCCAAATGTACTCCTACAAAGCGCTCTGGCTTGACGAAAACATACCACTGAAGTGTACTGAGCCTGATTCACGTAAGAAATGTCAAGTGGATGCAAGGTGTGACACATGTAATGTTTCAGTTTTGACTTTAACTCTGGGAAAACTGGAGTCATCTAGAATTTTTTTAAGTGAGGCACTCTGAGCCATTAGGATGTGATTAGGAGATCTATTTTAAAGGGTTTTTTTCCTTCTGATCATTGGTGTATGGTACAAACATCTTTGTGAAGGGGAATGCTGTTCATGTTGTTTTAGTAATTAGGCACGAAGCACAGGAATTAAGGCCTGGATGTAGAAATGCTTGTGCTCACATGTGAGCAGTGCCAGTCCAGCTGGTTGCCCCGTGTGTGAAACAGCTCGGTGTGAACACGCGGTCTCTGCTGTGCGCTCTGGGAGAGGCACGGTTACAGCAAAGCATCGACAGCCTCGATGTGCCAGTCCCCCTGTGTGGAAACACAGGACCCCCATGCCCAGGGGGTACTTCTCAGGGCACATGAAGCAAATGCAGCTAGGTTCCACATCTGGCTTTGAGGGACACCTCAAGGCTGCCATAAACAGCAAGGAAACAGGCTGTAGCCATGCAGGATGGCCAAGGATGCTGTTTCATGTTTCATCCTGTTTCATGGAATAAAGAGAATATCAACAATTCGTTCACCCCTATTTGAGCAAAGAAACGTATTGCATATGAAGCTGCCAAATGCACATATGGCAAAAAAAGCTAGATAAATTTCAGCCTACTGGTAAAACATGTTTTCCTTTCCTTCTTTTCTTCTTTTCAATGATGATGATGGCAATGAGGGTAAGTGAGTAATTCCCCTGAGGATGTGGCAGGATTTTCAGTAGCTTTGTATAATTTTCTTCATAGGCAGCAGTGTTCCCCCTGTAGCTAGGGACTCATACCACGTGTTTAAACAGGTCTGTGTTTGCTTGCAATCATAAGAAACCTCCCCAGCAGCACTGGGAAAGGCTTTACAGATTCACACATCTTTCCTTTCCTAGCACTGGCTGTGTGGGGTCACTGGTCTGTCTCTCATTTTATGTTTTGTACCAAATGGAGTTTAAACTTCAACAGGCATAGCGAGAATAAAAGGTGCTATCTCCCCTCAAAATAACCGTGCTTAAAACATCAGTTTTATGAGATACTGTTTCCTGCTTAGTATCTTTCAGGGAACCAGGAGCTCAGGATCATGTCAGGGAAGCCCAGGCTTACCTACTTGAATGGAAGGGGCCGGATGGAGTCCATACGATGGCTGTTGGCAGCAGCTGGTGTGGAGGTTGGTTGATGTTTTCAGTAGAGTGTAACAGGCTGGTGTTCTCTACTTTCCTTGATGAGGGACAATTTAACATGCATGTGGTGAATAAAAGCTGCCTGAGAGTGGCTAAATTCTTTTGTCCAGTGGCACTGCATGTTTGCAACTACCTTGTTCCATGGTTGATGCTTGGGATGCAAACTCAGTGGCATTTAGAGTTTATTAGAAGTAGTAGCAATTTCCTGAAGTGATTAATCTTAAGGGGACAAAATGGGGATTTATTTTAAAGGGTGTTTATTAATTGTAAGTTATCTAGCTGGGCTAAACCACCTTAACTCAGTCTTATTAAATTTGCAGTTGCAATGTGTGTAAGCTGGGGTGGGGTTAGAAATATTTTATGTACTTTGTGCTTCCCTTGGCACTGGCTCCAACCTGTCTTGTTTCTGTAGATGCCTGCTCTCTGTTTGTGCTTGGTCTTCAGTTATTTCTGAATCAGTGCACTGATGCAGAAGTGTCCAGGCCCTGCTTCTGCTCCCCATCAACTGCCAGGGTGTGTGAGGGATCCTTGGGACATCCACACCTAAACAGTGCAGCTGAAGATCTGGCCCATTACCTTTTGCTTGACTCAGTAATTCTGGGCATGGTTGTGTGCTATGACTTAACAGAAGAAAAATGTTCAAATACAGCAGTGTGACACAGTTCTCACTCCTTTTTCAGTTTGAAGAAGTTTATTTGGAAACAAAAGAGCAGTATGACAAGTTAATCAAAGGTAAGAATCCTGACACCTGAGACTTCAAAGGAGCTTCAAAATAATTGTCCAACCTAGCTAAACTTATGGTTTGAAGTAGTTTCTTTAAACCAGTGGAAACTTCTGGGTGCACACCTTGAATAGTGCAGTACTAGTTTTGAGTAACCTGCTATTTCCAGTGCCAAATAACTGGTATAAGCTAAAAGCCGGAGCTTCTGTGTTTATTGTAGTACATTAAACAGGCAAACACTTCTACTTAATACAACTTACTTACCTATGCTGTTGAATTGTTAGCATGGTACCTGGCACATTTTGGTCCAAGACAATAGAACTCCCTGAGCCTGAGATGTGAAGCTTCCCCTAGTTAAAAAACATGGAGCTAGCAGGGAGACCTGTGGAAAGCCTGGAAACTGGAAAGGCAGTTCTTCCCACACACCAGTGCAGACCTCTACCCGCTGCCCTTGATATCTGGTCAGAACAAATCCAGCAGTGAACCCCTCTACAGACACCCTGGAAAGAGAAGATCTTCCTGCCAGAATGGGGAAGGAGTTGGGACAGTGAGGAACAGTAGAGAGTGCATATGCCCCTCACTTTACCTGCTGCCCAAGACACTTGAGAGAAACCTCAGAGCAGGCTGGGCTTGCCAAGCCATACAAGGAGACTTGGAAGAGGTCTTGCCTGCATTGTGGCTGAACTTAGAAGGAAAAAGCTGTGTCTAAAGATATTCTGTCAGGTAAAACTAAAGTGAACAAAAATAAGATAGAAGTGGTATTAAGTAGATCAGAATTAAATTTGCAGATCCAGTTTGCTGGGACTTTTACAATATGGGAGGACAGTGCAGTGTACACAAACCAATTATAGCTCCAAATGTAAGAGCACAGGTACTGAAAGCCCAAATCTCTATATCCTTCACAAGAGTAGGTTATCTAGAAAGAGCGATGCTGTAACCAGGATTGTATCTGAGCTTATTGATATCCAGTGAGAAGAATTAAATGGTGGTGAAAAGGACAGGGAATTTTTATAAAGAAGATCAAGCGTTTTATGTCAATGTAGTGAGCTTAAGATGATGAGAACACAAAGAAAAAAGGTGTGGTTTAATAGAATGGGTTGAAGAAAGATAAATTAGTCATCCTGATAAAGGGGCCTCTGGAATGTTGCCAGTTGTGCAGGGCGGGACTCAACAGGAGTAACTCCACATTACTTCTCCCTTAAACTTTTCTTCTCTCCCTACCAACATGATTTTTGACAGTTTCCTTTGTTTAGACACTACCACGTCGTTAGGCTGGCCCAGGCATGACTTTGGCCTGTGCCAGCTGATGATCCTCCAGGCAATGCCCCAGCAGTGTCAGGATGATGCCTGGGCCGGGGGCTGTTCCCAACGGGCAGCTTGCAGAGACAGCTGTTTTGGAGGCAAGGAGAGTTAAATAGCTTTGGCCTGTGCAGACCTGTACCTTTTGTTCTGCAGCATGACTAACCTGGCACAATCTGTGGAGCCAAAGGTTGCCCAAGTGGTACCTGGGTATCAGTGAGCTCTGCTGGTTGGTTACAAATAGCAGGTGATTGTTTTTTAATATGTGCTGCATAGACCACCTTTGGACAGCACAAGCTAATTACTGGAATTACTGGTAAACTCCTTTTAATCCTGCATATGTATTCTGTGCTGTGGTTATGTGAAGTGGTTCTCCCTAGGAAATGAGGGAGGAGAGGCAGTGCACTACTGATTTTAAGAGGGACTTCTCTTTTCTGTAGATAAGAAACAAATGGTGTATTCAGTTATATTTGCTGTGTTGCTTTTTGTCAAGGGTCAGAAAGACAAATGGTATTTTTCACTTCACATCCTTCTGCTGAAAAATATCCTTCCAGATCTATTAGTTTTCCTATTCTATTGTTTCTGCTAGATAGGTACCAAGTAATGTTTCTTCCTTAAGATGCAGAGGTGTGTTCTGGAAAGACAAGAACACACATGAAATTTCTGTGAATGTTTACAAGAAGCAATTATGAGCTATTTGTTGCTGCAGAGATAACTACTCTTTGAATTTCAACTGTAAATTAATAATGTAGAATGCATGAAGAATATTAATTCTAGCCTAGCAAGGTACTTTAACAGCTCTGGAGAAAAAGACAAGCAGATGTGCCTGTTGAAATGAACCTTCATATCTGAAAGAAGGATTCACCAAACACATATAAATTGAGCAATTAAATCATTAACTTTGAGCAATGCAAGTGGCAGCTGCCTATTTGGATTTGAGTTCTGCTGTGATTATAAACAGGGCAGGATTGTTCTCTGGATGCCATTATTGTGTAGATGGAGGACGGAGTGTCTCCAAAACCAGTGAATTAGTCCAGCAGAACACTGGTCTAGAATAGACTGACTTTCCAATGCTAAATCTCTGTGTGTATACTTAGCTTTCAGAGCTGCCTCGCTGAAAGCTCAGATCATTGCTCCTACCAGCACCAGTAGAAAATGGGACTATAAAGATGTTTCTATATAGGCCTAAATTGTTGTAGAATGGCACTGAGACTAGGCCTGTAAAATCTATGGGGACACTCAAACTCTGGTCCTGAAGTGACTGTGTGAAACTTATTCAGACACCAACAGCTATCAAGGCTCTGCCTTCAGCTCTGTAGCTTCGGGATGTTTAAAGTGGCCTGACCCCTTCCTCTATTCCTGCAGCTTGGTCTTGCTGCAGTACTACTCGTGTATGTCCCTGACAGGGAATTGATTTACATTCAAAACAATTGGATTTTTTTAAAGTTCAGATTTACTAGGTATCTTTATTCTCCTCCTATTCCTTGGGTTGGAAGTGCTGGTTCAGGCTTTTCCTGCCAGCATGAGGCAGGCTCCAGAAATGCAGAGGTACAGGAGGGCCAACTCCCACTAGCCAGTGAAGCTCTGTCAATGCTGCCAAGCCCAGGGCCCAGCTGTGCTGTGGTGACTTTGCTACAGGAGTGTGATGCAGGCTGTTTGATCTTCCCCACAATGTTAGTTGAGTGCTGTGAGCTTTACAGTTAGAGCAAGACATCAGCGGTCTCCTACACTGAAAGAGAAGTGTGCTCAGTGTCTCACTCTCCTGTACATCCTGCAGGAGGAACTAACACTTTCCTTCACTTTTCCACCCTAGATGGATTCCTGCTCTTCCAGCAAGTGCCCGTGGTTGAGATTGATGGGATGAAGATGGTGCAGACCAGAGCCATCATGAGCTACATAGCAGGGAAATACAATCTGTATGGGAAAGACTTGAAGGAGAGAGCCCTGTATGTAACACCTCCTATCACTAACAGAGCAGTCTGTTATTTGATAGCTACATTATATAAACCAAATTCAATCCTATAAATCCCATATAAAGACATCAAAAAGGCTAACAATAAGATTTAACCACTGCTTCTGAAATGCTCCTGACAGAAGCAGGCTTCTATTCTTTTAGAAAAATATTCAGGTTTCATTCATGCTTAGTTTTGGCTGTGAAAGTTGGCACTATGTTGGTGATATAAAATTCCTGTAAATTGCCTTAGTTAATTGGAAAACAGATGAAATAACTTCTGTGCTTTTTTCTACCATCTTCCCCTGACCAATAGGATTGACATGTATGTGGAGGGAATATCAGATCTGATGCAAATGATTTTGATGTTTCCTTTCTCTCCACCTGATGCAAAGGAGAAAAATATTGAGTCAATTAAGGAGAGAGCAACTAACAGGTATTTTCCAGTCTTTGAAAAGGTAAGTGACAGCAAGTATGTGTCTATCAAACTTGCAATTATCCAAAAAGCTTCTGCAAAATAAGAATTCATTTGTAGTGTAGGTCAGTCCTCAGCTGCTTTGGCTATCAAAAAAGGGGAAATACATTTTCCTCTCTTTGTTTGCTTGTGTTGTCAGGGCTGTCGTATTTGACCATTTATGAAGCAATATGTTCTCAGCTGTACAGAAAAACTTTTCACTAAAAGTTTTGTGATTATTTTTCTTGAAGGAACTGTTCTATACTTATATTTGTTTAAAGCCCATCTCTCTGCCGTACTTAATTTCATTTAGAAAAGTTTTGCTGGAGGAGTGCAAAAATCCTTTGTACACAAATCCTGTAGAGGGGAGTACTTTGGTAAAACTTCAGTCACAGAGTTATAAAACGATAAACCAAACCCATATGATTCATGCATCTGGCAATATTTCCCACTTTTGTAATATTGATCTAGTTTTCTTGCAAAACAATAATAAAGGCTGAACAGCACACAAGTTCTTAGCACTAAAATAGCCTGTTCCCAAAGGCAGGGATTTTCTTTAGTTAGTTGTTGCAATTCTGCATTTCTGTATTTGCTTCCTCATATCAGCACTGGACATCACTTCACATGAAACATCTAAATGGGAGTTGTATGAATTCCTTAAATTGCTTGTTGCTTCCTCCATTACCCCTTTTTCTAATTCTAGGTCTCTTACTAGTCTACTTAAGCATGTGGTTTTGTTCCTGGTGCCCATCATCATTCATTATTACTGAGTGACCAAAGTCTGTAGTCTGTGTCCTAGAACACGAAATGAACAAAATTTCATTTTTTCTCAGCAATAGTGAAATTTAGGCTCAGCTTCAGCTGAAAAGTTCACCCTGAAATTTCAGATAGAATTGCTGCTCAGCTCTGCAGCTGTGCTGTAAGGCTTAGCTGCCAAGAATGCTCATATGCCCCACTCTCATCTGCAGCCCAATTTTTCTTGTCTCCTCCAGGTTTTGAAACAACATGGCCAAGACTTCCTTGTGGGCAACAAATTCAGCTGGGCAGATGTTCAGCTAATGGAAGCCATTTTAGCAGTGGAGGAGAAAGTTCCTGACGTGCTCTCAGGATTTCCTCAGTTGAAGGTAATTTAATTACTGAGTATGCTGTATTCAGGAGCTAGAGGTCAGTCCTGAAGTAATCATTTCCCCATGCTGGGTAAATCACATTTTTGTGGCCAGAATTCCTCTCTTGCTCTGTTTTTTAATTTTTTAATTTTTATTTCTAGGTGTTTAAAACCAAAATGAGCAATATGCCTACAATTAAGAAGTTTCTGCAGCCTGGAAGCCCAAGGAAACCCCCACCAGATGCCCATTATGTAGAAACTGTGTTGAAGATTTTTAAGAAATGAAAGGCTTGCCACCTTTGGAGAGACCCAAAATGCTGGGAGAGCTGGGGAAAGCAGAGCAGCAACTCCAAACCCTAAACCAAAAGAGAAGGAAGCTCAGCAAATTAGTATTGTTTTAGTTAAAACCAGTGCTAGAGGAAGAAAGCAACCCACACCAGAAATAAAGCATTCTATTACACTGGCAATGTGACAGCAGCTTTGTCTTTATTGATATCAAATGCCTGGCAAAACATGAAAACAAAGGAGTATGAAGGCAAAGAACTATTTGTAGGGTAGGGAATTTATTAATTTGGAAAAAGAACAATGCAGTGTTAGTATTGTCAGAATGTAACTTGTTGCAGAAGATAGCTTCTACATTAAAAGAAGCTTGGGATAAGAGCTGTGGAAGAGAAGAAATAGAAGACTCGCAGCACCACTTACCGTTTAAAGAAGTAGACTTGTTTCAAATTTCCTTTTTTAAATTTAAAGCTTGTGGGTGAATTGGATTTTTAAGGTCTCTCAGTAAAGTTTTTGCAAAACTCATTACTTTTCTCTATAAATCAGGTATTTTAAACCTTGTGTATTATCATACCAGCTACTCACAAGCTGCTTACAAATACATTACCTCTTGAGAGCAAAGTGTTGTGAAAGCAAGGTGCAGTCTGTTTTGCCGACTCTGGCAAGGCAGAGGGGGTTTATTTCTACACATTTAGGACAGAACACAGAGCAACAGATACTCAGGTTCCTTTGAATTTCAAATAAAAATATTTACAGCAGACAGTAACAGCCTGTGAAGTGGCCTGATACAACAGAGAAGCAGCTGCTTAGAAGGAAACTGCGTTCCAACTACTGTCAGTAACCAGATCTGATGCTTAATAGTCTATGACATGAGTGAAGAAAAAAAGAGATTAGAAAAAATATGGGAAAATGAATCTGAGGGAGAAAACAGAAGAATACCATTTCCCAAAATAGCTCAGTGAAGAGACATTTCCGAAAGTCAAGTTACGAGACAGACTATATTGGACTTAGTTGCCTGAAAACTCGATGGATACTTGTGACAGAACAGGACATGTCAATGTTGGGATTAAATCACCCTCTGAAAAGGGTGCTCCTCTCCCCTACCTCTAAGGGAAGGCCCAAGGGACTGGCTTCATCTAAACTTTTAACTATCTCAGCTGAGACAGAATAATTTTGAGTAGTTCAGCTGTAACTGGAGCATGCTGAGGGATTCCTCCTGAATTTGGACCTGTTGGAAGGAGACTAGACAGCTAGACCAGATGTAGGTGTCTACAAAGTTAGGTGAAATGGGTTTTCCTGGGTTGTCTACACCATCATTAACTTTCAGGCTTTAACTCATGTTTCCATACCACATGGTCACTGGACTCAGGATGTCTCCTGGAGTTTATCAGGGGCAGGCCTACGAATGGTGAATCCAGACATGTTACCTCAGAGGGACTTTGGGTTTGTGAAAGGGCCAGGTGCACCTTGGTGCATGTCACTACATGGAGAGCTTGCATCTCCTACATTATCCTAAATTCTGTGTCATAAGTCATATGTGTCCAGAAATGTGGGAAATGCTGTTTCCAGCAGTGTCAGAGGCTGGATAGAAGACCTTCCCAAGATGTAAGGAGGGGACAGAGGGACATAGAGCCCTAACCAGAACAGGGAGCTACAAGAGGTGCTCTTGGTCAGGGGTCCCCTTTTGTGAAGCCTGGCTTCCCTTAGGTGCCATGTGGGATACAGTGTTCCACCTGGGGACTAGGCACCTCCTAAAAGACAATACATTGTAGTGGTGACTCTTTTGATGCCCTGTCCTGTGATTCTAGCTCTAAATAAATTATTAAGCTTATTTCATTGTCAAGCATGGAACACATCAACACAACAGGTACCAACAGTGAGGACTGATAGGATGAGGCTTGTTTTCAGCTACCAAGCAATGAAGTGGGCATAGAGGAAGGACATGAAGGAGACAGCCTGCTATATTGTAACTGGAGGTGATTGCTACAACAATTAACCAGGTAGATTAGATAGGCAGGAAGGTACATGGGAATGTATGCTGTATTGACTTCTTGAAATCCACTCAGTTGTCCAAAGAAAGCAGTCAGGAGTGCAGAGTGCAATTTGCCTTCTGATGCCACACTTCATTCACTGTTTCTTACAGCTGTCTCTGGTGTGTGTTTTTACTGAGTCACATTCAGATAAACCTTTTTCAATGAAAAAACCAAGCCAGATGTCCAGAGAGGATTCAGCAGGAGTGACCTGAAGGAATATACACTAAACAAGGCATAGAAGCTTGTGAAAGATTTGTACTGAAGTAGTTGACGTGGTTTATGTAAAGTGGCAATGTGTAAAAAGTAAAAAACCAGAAAACATTAGAATAAAAGTGTGATTGACATAGCAGCATTCTTTTAATCTGAGTGAGCTTTTCAGCTGTTACAATTGTTTTTAGCAAGCATGGTACCAAGCAATGAAAAGAGGAGGCATATTACCCATTTGTGCTAAAACACAAAAGGGTAATATGCCTTTTTTGGCATATTTCTAATGATAGAAATATGCCAAAAAAGGCATATTTCTATCATTAGATAGAAATATGCCTTTTTTTCTATGATCTGATTTATTTTACATATCTACACTGTCAGCATGAGTCAGCAATTTATTTTCTGTAGGTGAGAAGTAACTTAACAGAGAAAATTGGTTTTGTTTCCTTAAGAAAAAGAAGTATCCTGTTTGCAGAGAGCTGTTTGAAAAACTCGGTGTGGGAGGGGCTCCAGAGTTACATAATCTTAAGGCAGAACTGCTGAGAGTTTAGAGTGAGTTACGCTGTGCCCGAGGTAAGTGGGTTTTTTGCATTATTTTTCCCTAATTAAATGAGTTTTATAGAATAAATGTGTGTATGTAATTTCTTTACTAACATGGTTATGTGTACCAAATGTTAAATTCTTAATCAGCTGATTTTGGGGCGTACAGAATTAAGAAAAATAAAGGTGGATCTCACAAGTGGGGAGTGTTTCCTCTCACCTCCTCCTTCCTACTGTAGTGAAGCTGACGTGTTATTTACAAGGAGAATATGGCGGGGGTTTGGGCGTTTTCCTTTTGCTGCGGTTAAAGCTTCAGCCTTGTTGCTGGCAGGGTGTCAATAGCTGTGAGGCTGGTAGAGCTGGGCACTGTTTGTGTGTGTTTGCGACTGATGTGCACACGTGGTTCTGAGCGGGTGGGTGACAGTCTGCCTAGAAAATGTTGTTGCTTTAAGTTTCTGCACAGAAATTGTTGTGGCTTGAAATTCCAGCAGAGTTGGAACTGGACCAAGCAAGCATTGCCCTGAGGCTGTGCCTGTGGTAAAGGCAAATCTGATGCTACCAGAGGCAAAATTAATTTCCATGTTTTGGAGGTTTCTCTAAAGAAATTACAGAAGCAGAAAGTGTTGTAGAAGAGATTGACTGACGGCAAGAATTCCTTCTTGTTTGGTTATAATGGAGCATAATAGCTGCTGGAGAAAGCAGAGCCAATTGCTGAGTTTATAGCATGTATCTGATTAAACAGTAAACTGTATTCTGAGGTAAAGCCAAAATATCCAAAGAGCACCCTCTGCTTTCTGGTCAGAAGAGAATGCTTTGGATGGAAGTGGTTTTGATTGAGTGGTTTTCTGTGTGGGCCAATTGCTCTAAGTACAGAGTTCTGCTTAAATATTCTGCATGTGTAAGTAATATTTGAAGGCAGAATGATACAATGCAGTCTCTCCATACATTCTATCTTTTACCTCCTCTATTGATTGATTCACATCTTGGACGATAAATTATTGGTTTCAAACAAGACAACTTTGAAAGTGATTTAGAGATTTGAATCCAGGATTGTGAATGATTATTGTGCAAACTTATCTTCATTGCAGATACTAAGGAATCAAGCACGGGGAAACATGTCTGGAAAACCCAAGCTGCACTACTTCAATGGACGAGGCCGGATGGAAACAATTCGGTGGCTCCTGGCAGCAGCTGGGGTTGAGGTTTGCTTCTGGTCTTTAATACCGAGATCCTGTGACAAATATGTGCTTTTACTGTTCCTTCTGAAAAGTGTGACTGAGCAGGAGTTTCAAACTCTGCCTTTAGTGCATTGCTGAGCAAGCCAACAGGGACCAAGAGCTTAACCTAAGCAGGGGCGAGTTCCTGTCACACTTGCATTCGTCCTTTGCAAAGCCCACTGGCAGCCCCCAAATGCTTTTCCCCTGTAGCTAGAGAGAGAAGAATTTTAAAACCCAAGCAGCTAAACGTGGCTTGATAATTTTCTGACCACAGAGGTCAAGCACCTGCAATTCTGTGTACCTTCAGTTAGATTCCAATGTCCTAAACTACAAGTTTGTTTTTCCTCTGAGAGATTCTAATACTAAACCAGAGATGGAACATGGCAATCTGTGTGTTTCAAGATGCAGGGGTTTCTGTCACAGTGATGGCAAATTTGTCCAGAAATTTTCAAGTACAATTTATATTTTAGAAAAAAAAATTGCCCAAAACACATTTCTTTAGGCCTTCTTTACCTAAATGAAGAAGAAGCTAAACCATGGAATGACAACTGAACTTTTCTTCTCTCCTTCCTACAGTTTGAAGAATCTTATCTGGAAAAAAAGGAGGATCTGACCAAGTTACAGAAGGGTAAGTTTCCCTCACTTTTAGATAATAACATCAGCAATAGTTAAAATAAGAAGAATCCTAATTAAAATCAGAATTAGAGTTACTTGTTTATTTCAACTAGGAATTCTT